AGAGGGTTGTCAACGTGAGTGAGCGAAAAAAAACATTTCATCGGACACTTCTTAAGTAAGAGAGCGCAGACGAGGGGTCAAATTTTTTACATCTTGAATGTATCTAACAGCTAAATTCATCAGGTTTGTTGCGTAAAGCCCGTGACGTGCACCTTTTGACATATGGTACATTCATGGACAGCACCTCAAAAAGGGGAGTGTATTTGGAAGAATAATTCTTGCTGGTCACAGTAAATATAATTTTTGGTGGAGTGCTCTGAGGTACGTGAATCATCTCCCTTTCGCTTTCACGTCCAACCAGCCTACAATTTTTTCCCATACGGAAAGTGGGATTACTGTAGGCGACAAGAACTGTTGCACAGATGGCATCACTTATTCGGATAGACCCGACACGCCATATCAATTTCATGGAGACGAATTTCCCAAAAGTTAACCAAACTTACCAGCTCTGGAGGTTGCATTATTTGGTGAAGGACATCTATGAGAAAATGAAGGCCATCGCAAAGTGCTCTGGGTTGTTCAGTCTGACTCAGCCTCTTTGTCAGTTTATCGTGCATACGATATCGGGTGGAGGAGCTGCTCCTACTGGCCCATTGAAAACTCAAACAAAGAGCTACATCAGTTAGGCAATCCGTTTTGTTTCAGATTTTATCGAATGGGCGCCGTCCTGTGCTCTGTCGCAGCAAGATTCATTTTCAGGTACAAAAAAATTCATTCATTAATGGGCTATTTAACACGCCAAACGGAGATCCTTTTACGTGTGGGCGGAATCGCTGTGTTATTTGTTTTGTTTTGTGTACTACAAAAAGTGGTAGCGGATAAAGGATGGTTCCGCCCGTACGCAAGCAGTTTGCTGTCAAAATAGGGTTTGGGTATAGGTAGGAGAACGCCAGGTGGCATCTAGCCTTTGTCGCGTTACCGCGGCAAGGTGCCGCGTGGTGCCCCGAACCTTGTGCTCCATCCCATTACTTTGATATTGTAATTATTCTGGAATAGTTTATGGTAATGTATTTCAGGAGGCCACTCATCCGTTCAGGGCAGTCCGGCAGCTATTCAAAACTGTAAGCATTCCTTTATATCGAAGTTCCCTCACATTACCGCTACTGCTATCTATGGCTTTTCTACTGTATGAGTTTGTTGCATGAATAAGCCGCCACTTTTTGAAATGCACCATTTGTGAATGGCTTGGAGAAGCGATAGAATATCAGGAAGAATGTCTTCTATGGAAAGTCAAAGGCGGCCGTGTCGAATTCCCTCCCCCCCCCCCCCCCATCCCTCCCCCCCCCCTCCTCCCAGGGGGAGCGAGCGTTGAGAATGTAAGGGTTGGGGACTGCCTTACAGGAGGGGCTTTAGGTTCCTAAACGACCATTAATTAGAAGGGGCAAAAAAGGATCTCAACAATATTGAGTAATGACCTGCAAACCTCGATTTCCTTGCTTAGTTCTCCTAGAATAGAGCATCACTGTGTACTTCCTCGTGTTACTGCGAGGTGGGGTGCTGTCATCTTGCCAAATTTGGCCATTTGGTCTTTGGCGCTGGTGTCGCTGAAGTCGCCAAATTTGGGCTGTCAGCTTTTTCGCTGGACTACAAATATCTCAGTGATTATACCAAAGCACTCGTGCAGCAATTCTCGAAATTACTCTATGCAGGTTTTTCAAAGGTGGAATCAGGGACTAGTTGAGGTGATGACTTTGCTCCACACCGACGTACAAGCAGTCAATTCATGAGCAACCATGAGGGGGATGATGGAACAAAGTGTTGAAAAAATGCTGCGGATTACTTATGTAGGAGCCGAATAGAAAGCTAGTTGAAGCTTTTTCTGAGTTCTCTCTTTGATTTTTAAAGAATTTCTTCATTCAGATGACCTCAATCAAGTCCAGCTACCTACAGTACCATGTGAGTATGCTTTGAAATCTTTGTGAAATGTTGTAAAAGTGAGCAAGCCTGAATGCAGGGTGGGGAATAAGTTAAGGGACGAAGGCATTGGCGTTTACCAGGCCTCTTAGGATGCGCCAAGAATTCGACATCTACCGAATCGTAGGAGCATGGAAATCAAGCCTTTGGTGCCTTCACTGAACCTCGAGTGTCACTTCTCATTAGAGGCACGGCTTCAATTCTGATAAACTGCAGCGTTAATCATGAAGCTCAATATATGGTAGGGGCGAATTGGTTTGCCAGAGAAGAATAAGAGAGAAAAAACCTGAAAGCGTCCCAAATAAGGCCGTTTTACGGGCAGCAGGGAGTCTTAATGGCGAACATGTAGACTAATGAGCATTGCACACCGAAAGGACGACATTCGGAGATGGGCGAGTAGTAGCAGTAATGATCTCGGAGACCACTGCTCCCGTTATACAAGTCGTGCTGGCTAACTTGGCAACTTGTGGGGTACAGTACGAAGTGGTCCAGTGCTTTTTTGATACTGTCCCGTGTGTGCGTGAAGTTTTCTTTCTTTCTCGGTATTTCTTTTTCTTACCCCGACGAGGAGTTTATTTACCTGTACCGATTTTCAGTACCAGAAGATTGGTGCTCGGTGATATACTACGAATTGGACACACAAATTGGCGAAACCTTCAAAGTGAGTTGGTTCTTATGATACGATGTCTTCTTGAACACGAGGTGGATCTGTTCCAATAAGGGGGATATGTGGTGCGACAGTTCTTGCGTCTACAATAATTCCAGCTGTTGCAGGATGATGGTGAAATAGATCACTTTCTTTGGGGAAATTGCAACGGTACATGGACTGTTTCGGTCACGTTTTGATACCCACTCCGGCGCTTCCCTCCCTACAAAAATTGCAACTGCTGTAAGCAACACGAATGATCGCGCAAAAATACCCACCCCCTCCCCCATTCGGAATCAATCAAAGAAGCTAGCAACGATCAGAGAATTGTTTGGAAAAGAACGAGAAAAAGAAAAACGAGCCCTATGCTGTATCTTTACCTTGCCCCAGGCAACTCGGTAAGCATCACCAGACCCGTTTGTTTTTTTTAAGGACAACTTCAGACGATTCGTGTGAACGCTTCTCTTCGTCTCTAGTAGTAGAGACCGCAGAGACAATCCCAAATGTGGCGTTCCCGTGCACGAAAACCAACCGACAAGAGCGCTTGGGCCTTGCAAATCAAGCTGCTCAAGCTGCAGAATTTTTCTTCTCTTATCAGGCTGTTGTCTGGCACTCTCTCATCTGTAGCGCTCTCTCGCCTCATACTCTCCTCTCCGCGCTTAGTCTCTCATTCCCTTAGCACAGCCGATTAGGAAGGTGAGTGAGCCCTTAACCTAAGCGTTTTTGACGGATTCTTTTCCTTTTTTCTTTACTGCCGGCCCATTTCGCACCAATACATTCGCATTCGTGTGCAAGAGCCACACCAATGTGATCCTGGGGCATGCCTTTAAAGTTCAGTTTCATTTAGCAGAAAATTCGATTTTTCTCTGGCCTGTTGTTAATCTATTAGTATTGTACTCCAGTAGTTGAGACATTCGGTAAAGAATAAACCCTCAGATCAAAAACGATGAGTTACGTGTCGACGGCGGTATGGATCCACTGGCGCTTCACAAAGGACGACTTTGTTTGGGCGCATTGCCGAATGTACATCGTGGTGAAGTCAGCGAGCGAACGAGGTATGCTTTTGCGAACTATTCATTCAATACAACCTCGACACAACCGGAGAAAAGGATACTGCTGCGACTAGCGTTCCAGTAGTTCAGTAGCTCAACTCCCACACGAGCGATACCTTCTGCAACCATGGACGCTGATGCGCCACAGCTGGGCGCGTAAGCCCACATGACGATTATTTAGACCATCTCATGTGGAAAGCACTCGACCAGTGAACCAACTATGTATGCGCTCAAATAATAACGCGATTACGATTCCGAATCGCGTCGAATGCATGGCGCGTACCAAAAAGTGAGGTGACCATAGTCAAGCGTCATATCCACTGCTGACCTAACAAAATACGTGTGCCATGTGCTGTGTGAGCGTGATACTGGGCTCTGCATCACGATCGGTGGCCGGGTCAACCGTCCATTGTTCCAATTCCAGTGAGTTGACGACTTTCTCAGGGGAGGACGATCTCGATACGACTCCTTTCTCCCCCTTCTCTCACCACGACCCTCGGCTACGGCTGCTTGTCTATACAGGGGGGGGGCAAAAAAAAAGAGTCACTTTGCAATGGCGCATATCATCGAAACTTTTCGTCGCAAAGGATGCCGCTGT